ATACACACACAATGTTTCCCATGAATCTCTGCCAGTCGTTTTGTGGAGCATAAGAGGAACAAATTGCAGTCAATTATATAGTGATCACTTTTATATACTGATCACTTTTAATAAGAACAGTAATGACTGCAATTTGTTCCTCTTATGCTCCACAAAATGACTGGCAGAGATTGATGATCCCATGGGAGCCTCCATAAATCATTACTGTTTTGTAACAGGTGCTTGGATTGGGCAAACGTTTTCAGCAGAGCTTCGCCTTTTATCAGTTTTCGTCAACCTCTGGCTTTTCCATAAGACAAAACAGTCAGATTACGATTTTATAATCCTTATCTCTTTATGAAATACTAAGTGACTAAGCCTCTTTAATATTCAGGTAGAGAGAGCGATAGATATGTGTCCTTCAACTGGCACACAAAGGCCTCCGTCATGGACTACCGGGGAGAAATATGTAGACTTGTGTTTCGGGAGCTAGGAGAAAAGCTGAACAGAGGTTCATTTTCCAGTTTGAAACCACCCTCCTGCTGATAAATGGTAAGCAAAAAGGAGAATGGCTAAAAAAAAAAAAAAAAAAGCATTGTCAATGTGTGGGTGTAGTCGTTAGTGTGTGTGTGTGTGTGTTTTCGTGTGTATCCTGCAGTATGTATCTATCAGTATGAAATGTGGGGGAGGGATATAGGGATTTGTGGGGGGGGTTAAGAATGGTGTGTTTAGAAGTTTGTGGCAATGAGTAACTGTATACATTTGAGAAATGCCAAAACCACAAACTGCTTGCTTACATACATATTGTAACAAAATAAACATACAAATCATCCGCAGCCAATTACTGCCCACTCTCACTGGTAGGTGTAGCTTTGAGCTGGGTTTTAAATATTCTTCATTACACAAAACTGATAGTTAATAAAAATTCAAGCTGAATTTAAAATTGAAGGACATAATTGCTAAATTTTAATCATGGCTGACCTAAAGAAGTTTTCCAATGTGGCTATTTTGATCCTAATTTTTAAATTCTTATTCAATTCTCAATTTAGTGAATGTGACTGTGTGTATGTACCTAGATATCCTAATTATTTTTTTCCTAGTTTACACTAGATAAATGTTCAAATTGAAGCAGAGTGGTGCTGCATTTTCACAGTTCTTTAGCATTTGGTGATGAGAATATTTACCAGTGTCTTTCTATCTCCCTGTAAATGTCTGTTCCAACAACGTATTCACAGTCCAACTGAAAAAACTGCAAACTCATCTTGTGTTTTTGTTTCATATGTGTTTTTTGATAGCTAAGTGAACGGTTAAAGTACAGTTAAACATACTCGTTGTCCTGGCACATTTACAGTTAAACATACTTGTTTTCCTGGCACTATAGTGCCCTGAGGGTGCCCTGACCCTCAGGGACACACTCCCGCTCTGGGGAGAGGAAAGGGGTAAAAACGTACCTTTTTCCAGCGCTGGGCGTGGAGCTCTCCTCCTCCTCCGTTCCTCCCATTCTGCTGAATGCACAGACGCGGCAAGAGCTGCGTGCGCATTCAGCCGGTCGCATAGGAAAGCATTTGTGATTTTCACAGTGAGAATCACGCAAGCGCCTCTAGCGGCTGTCTGTGACACAGCCGCTAGAGGAATTGGAGGAAGGATTAACCCTATTGTAAACATAGCAGTTTCTGTGAAACTGCTATGTTTACAGCTGCAGGGTTAACAGTAGATGGACCTGGCACCCAGACTACTTCATTAAGCTGTAGTGGTCTGGGTGCCTAGAGTGGTCCTTTAAGCAAATTTTTCTCAAATGCTATAATCCTGCTATCAATATTTATTTACCAAAGTGAGAATTGACTGGAATTCAAAGCAAACTTTAAATTGAAGCCAAATTAGAAAAATAACGGACTCAGTTTAATGTTCAGCTATTTTGGCCTCCAATTCCCAACTATTCTCTTTTTAGAAAACAATGCTGATAATCTCACTTACACTGTAAAATGTTTCCCTTTTTTATTTTAAGAAGCTTGGTTATAGGAATAGTCTAAAAACCAAAATCACTTAATCTTAAAGTGATTGTTAAGAAATAGATATTGCCTGTAAATTAAAGTATTGTGGTTTCTAAGATCTGCCATTACATTTTGCAGTTTCCATGCCTAGTAGTGGCTTCGCACGAACAGATAAAACGGTCTAGTTACTGCATTCAAGTTATGCTGTCAAAGAACTTCCAAAGGTTCTAACAGAGAAGCAATGGATTGGAGGATTACAGCAAATGCTGCACATGCGCCTTCTCTTAAGGACCCATCAAGGAATAATTCAGTCATGCAGTATTTTACCAGCAGGGACATTTCCCTGATGGAAAAGGGTAATCTCCAGATGTCACTAAATATTTGGGATTCAAATTTATCAGCTAGGGCCAGAATTAGTGGCCCCACACTGACCGATTACCTGTATGCAGCACTCAAAGTGGAAAGAGTGGCAGGTACCACAACCACTGCAGCGGTAAAGACAAAGATTCCTCACTATGCATTTTAAATTTTTTTTTTTTTTTTTTTCAGAAATGGAGGAAGATCTAGACTGCTTACTACAAGACTTTGAGTAGCAGTGCCACTTGTATCAAGCACCACCAATAGATTGGATGCACATCCTGGCCTGTAAGCTTTCTGGCCAGGCAGAGGAAGTCTACAGAGCTGTACCTGATGAGTGTGCAGATTGTTTGGGTGAAGGAGGTGATACCGGCAAGATACGCCATTACACCTGAAGCATGCAGGGGACTCTTTTTTTTTTTGGGAGATAAAAAAAGAAAGGAAAGTACTTGAATTGGAGTGCCGGGTCAGGGCTGATGTGGGGTTGATGCAGGAACTCGCCGCTGACATCTTGCTGGGGAACGATCCCGACCAGTTGGCCTCCGCATTCTTGCTGACCCAGGTCACAGAGACCTACCAAGTTCCAGGCTCACACCACGGAGAGCTGCTTGCACTCTGAGGTCCAGGTAGGGAGAACCTTCACCCGGGGAGATCGTGTCGGATCAGGGCCACTCCGTTCACTGCGGAAGTCACCCAACAGCTGTGGAGTCTGTGGCATTAAGCCAATTATCAGTTCTCCCTACCACCCCCAGACAAATAGTCTATGTGAAAGGTTCAATGGAACAATAGCTCACTGCCACTAGTTGGAATTGGGAGAGATTCCTGCTACACCTCCTATTCGCTTACCGGGAGGTGCCACAGGAATCTACAGGATTCTTGCCCTTCGAACTGCTATTCGGAAGGAGAGTACGGGGACCCCTAGACTTAATCCGGGAACATTGGGAGAGAGCAGTAGGTCAGGATGGTACCCCTGTTATACCTTTTATGTGCTGCAGTTCAGCAACCACTTGGAGGAATTGACTCAGAACGTGTGCACCAACCTCCAGGCGGCGCAGACACCAGTGCCGATGGTATCACGGGCGCCAGGGGACGTAGCTTTCAATCTGGCCAAATGGCTTTGATTTTAAAACCTGTTTGCTACAACAAGGTACAGGCCACCTGGCAGGGCCCATACCAAGTGGTGGAACAAAGATGTGACACCACTTAAGTGATTGGCCCTTGCTCTGGTAGTGGGGGGGAGATGCATGTGACATGCTCAAACCCTACCATGAGAGAACGGATGATGTGGTGGCCATATGTATGCTCGCCTCCTTTGAATTTGAAAATCTTCCCCTGCCAGACCTCCTGGGGGAAGATTATAAGACATGCTCCCTAGTGCAGTTAGAACAGTTGGGGCCCCAATAGCATATCAAGGTATGGTAATTGTTAGCCACATAGCGAGCAATGTTTTAGAACGTACCTGGGTACTCTCCGCTGGCCACTCACCGGGTACAAACCCCAGAACAGCCACCTCTCAGACAGACCCCCTACAGAATCCTTGAGGCTGTCAGGGAACATATGAGACAGGATATATGAGATGCTCTGTCTTGGGGTTATAGAAGAATCTGATAGTCCTTGGGCGTCTCCGGTAGTCTTGGTACCGAAACGGGATGGAACAACCCGCTTCTGTGTAGATTATCGGAGGCTCTATGACAAAATGGTATCAGATGCCCAGGATAGATGAGTGTTAAGACCTGCAGTGGTTATGGTGCTGCGGTCTTCTGTTCCTTTTCCCAACAGCTGAGCATAAGTGATTATAGCTGCAGCAGGGAGTAGAGGAATAGGATAGATGAATGCAGTTCCAAGATGATTCTTCCCAGCAAATAGAATATTCCCCCAAACATGAGCCTAGACTTCATGAAGGGTGTAACAGAAATGAATTTTATTGACAACACACGGGCTTTTATGAGAAATCCTCCTGCAAGAGGACCTCCCACAGCAAACAAAGGCAACAGCCAATCAACGTACAGATTTACAGTAATACACGCCTTCCCTCTGCCTGGGAGATATTGAGATAAGTTGAGGAATAAACCAATTATCTCCAGGCAGAGAGCACACAATTTCCCCAAAACTTAGAACACCCCTTTC